GTATATAAAGGGCACGGCCATTATATATCTTCGTTATATATATATATATATATATATATATATATATATATATATATATATATATATATATATATATATATATATATATGTAACGTAATTAACGCACTCCCTCAGACACCCCAATTAGTATATTACGTTATACTCATAATACATACACTGAATCTTTAGTTAAACAATTTTATGCACTGATTATTTATCAAATTAGTTATACTAATTCCGGAAGAATGTTGTGGTCACAGTACAAATCCACGAACGCAAAGACTTTAACGTGCTTGAAATAAAGTTCATTTTTCTTTATTTTTATTGAATGACAGAATTAGTAATAATACAAATAAAACTGCACTCTTAAAAGTCTTATTGCCTTAAATTACGGTCCATTTCAGTTTGTTTTGACTGTACAAATTTAGCGTTACTGTAATTTACGTTGTTTTAATTATTTTTGGGATAAAAAATTACCTATATTAAAAATGATAGGAATCGATTCAGTAAACGATTCTGAACAAACTACTTTCTCAAAGTGTGTTAATTATGTTACATGTTGTATATATATATATATATATATATATATATATATATATATATATATATATATACATCAGAATAAGATTATTATTCCTAAATTAATTAATAAACTACCTAAAACCTTGAAGGAAAATATCAATCCCAAAAATATTAAATACAAATTAAAAATATACTTTTTTAATCAACTAACATAACTAAAATCTAACATATTTACTATTTGTAATATAATTACTTATATATTACAAATAGATTATATATAAAATTTATCTTTATTAATTCTTTGACTTCGTTAGTAGTCAGGACCAAGAAAAACTAAATTAAAAACTAAACTTAATTTATTTTCTTCTCAAACTTCATATTTGGCGGTAATTTGATTCGTATGCATCGTATGACAATAATACGTGGTAGAGCCACGTTATGATTGTAGCACGAATAGGTCGGCTCGACCGGGGAAGGACCACGCTCTCACAGATTATCAGCGTAAAATAGCAGCGTATTGCTGCTGTGTTTCGTATGGTAAGTGTAGAGATCCGGAGACCATTTTTTACTAGAAACTATGCATTTCATCTTAGTCTTCAGGGCACGCATCTATATTTTGATTCTTAATCGATGATAAAAATGTAAAAGTCTATGGGCCACAGCATCTAATTACCATCAAGTGGACTGCGTGCTTGTTTGTCACCATTATTATATTATATAAAAATAATGGAAAAACTTGAACGTTATAAAATATTTCTGCCTGAAAAACAATTCTACAGTAGTGTTTTTGAATAACTGCAGTTTACTTTGGCAGACAATGGTCTGTCTTATTCTTCAGTGGCAAATTGGTGTGCTGAATTTAAACGTGTCAGAACCGCCTGCAATGACGACACACGCTCCGGGCGGTCAACAACGGCCGCTACGGAATAAAACGTTAAAAAACTTCTGTCGCAGGGCTGCACGTCGGAAGTAAATACTACTTAACTTCACAAACTTAAAAATATTATTTTTGGGTTGATAAGAAATTTCCTTATTAGGAAGTTATTTTATTAGAAATTATTTTTATCTTTTTGCGCTCGTTTGGTAACCGTATATGAAACGTGGCTACACTATTTGTGTAGTATTCGTGGCTTTACTATTTTTTATTGCTACACATGACACGGATCTCGTATATTAGTTTTGTCGAGAATAGATTTATAACTTTGCTAGGATCCGATAGAAGGCGCTGTAGTCCAGTTACCAACTAATTCTATATATTTTTAAACGTTACCTTCACACTTAGATTTTCGTCTGTATCGTGGGGGTTTTCAAAGATAGACAAATACTTTTTCTGTATGTGATTCAAACCCTCGGCCATCAGCATTGGGTCGCTATTGTCTGTGAGCCTAAGTTATTCATATTCACCATATTATACTTTGTTGTTATGCCAAATAAGAAAATTACAAAATAGGACATGATAGGTGATAGAGTTACTAACAAATTTTGTATTCAAATCAAACTCACTGTAAAACTACGTGCATAACGCAGCTAGTAAACATTTTATAATAATAACGATAGCTAATGTCCTCCGGACCCAATTCCGGTCCCGGTGAGTCTAGTCTAGTCTCAATGAGAGCTAGCTATCTGCGCAGGGACAGGATTATAATGACCAAGTTATTGAATAAAACTAAATTTACGGATTTTATCGCGTTTATTTCATTACTTTTACTTATTTTTAATTCCCGACGTTTCGGGTGCTTTACAGCACTCATGGTCACGGGGGGGGAGAGGACTGAGATGTTTGTCGTCCCAATGTCATATTTAGTCCGGCTACCTTCAGTTTTTGTATATTAATTTTTGGTCCGATTTACGCAAAACGAGCTTATAGTATCATGAAGTCTTGCAGCGGTATGCTTAGGTTTGGTTTTAATTTTGTTAATTATAGGATCCCAAGCAGGTGGCAGCACCCATCCATCTTCTCCATTGAAATTTGGATGTTTTTTAATTTCAATAGCCTCGCGTATCATCCTTGGTAGGAATCGGTGTTCTTTTGCGAGAATTTGTGGTTTATCAAATCGCATGTGCAATGACGATCTTGGATCAGTGGAATCAGAAGTCTGCAGTCCGCGAACATGTGCATGCATATGCAATAAAATCCGTAAATTTAGTTTTATTCAATCTGTAGTATTCACGTAAATTTAAGAAATCATTATATGACCAAGTTAATTCAAAAACACAAGTGTACTCTCTATTCACTCACTATCATCGTCCGACAGGACGGCAAACCACCAGGACCGGATGGAGATCAGGCGCCACCAGGACCAACGGCTTTATGTGCTTTCCGGGGTACGGGGATTAAACATCCGCTTCTTGCTAACTTCGGGCTAAACTCAAAAATTGATTTTTGTTGGCCCGAACAGGGATTCGAACTCGAGATCATGATAAGCGATTGCTAATACGACCAGACAGTCGTATATACATACATAAACACTCACGCCTGTCACCCAGAGGGGTAGGCAGAGACTACAGACTTCCATTTAGCACGATCCTGACATACCTTTCTCGCCTCTTCCACATCCATATACCTACGCATACATGCTCGTCGGTTAAGGGTACTCTTAATTTGGCCCATTTTTAGTATATCGCCAATTTGGTCGACAAACTTCCGTCTAGGACGTCCCTTTCCGACTCTTCCATTCACTTCTGCAACATATATTTGCTTTGTCAGTCTTTCCGCATTCATTCTTTCTACATGACCAAACCACCGAAGCATTCCTTTCTTAATCCTGGTCACCGCATCATCTTGCAAACCACACTCTTCTTTTATCACACAGTTTCTCACCCTGTCACTCAGATTCAGCACTAACATACTCCTTAGCGACCGCATTTCTACTGCATTTATTCTACTCTCGTGCTTCTTCTGCCACACTCAACTTTCACTACCATACGTTAAAGTAGGGACTAATACAGCACTGTGAATTGCCATACGTGCCTTTTTTGACACATTCTGACTTTTCACAATAGAGTGTAGAGCCCCATTTACTTTATTTCCTGCATTCACTCGTCGTTCAATATCCTTATCATATCTCCCATCCCTGCTGAAATACACATCCCAAATATACGAACTCATCCACTTGCTCAATTAACTCTCCTTCTATTCTTATTTCACATACCGTCTTGCTTTCATCTCTTTCAAAAACCATCACTTTCGTCTTACTTGCGTTCACTTTCATTCCCCTTTCTTTTAATGACCTGTTCATTAATGTAACCATCATTTGCAACTCGGCCGCCGATGACGCAAGTATGACTTGATCATCGGCGTACAAAAGGCATTTGATGGTTAACTCACCCATTCTTAACCCGCATTCTTCAACTTTCAAATTTTCCAAACAGCTGTCCATAAATAGGTTGAACAGCCACGGGGAAGCTACACAGCCCTGTCTGACACCTTTATGGATGCCAAACCAGTCCGAGTAGACCCCGTTTATTCTAACACAAGCACTCGAGTCCCTATACAGAGACTTTAATGCCTGTATCAAACCAGCGCTCAACCTAAATGCGTTCAGCGTTTGCCGTAACACATCCCTGTCCACTCTGTCATAAGCCTTTTCCAAGTCCATGAACGCACAAAAAACTTTTTGGTTTTTCGCCAAAAACTTCTCCGCGATCATGCGCATGGAAAAGACTTGATCTGTACACCCCATTCCCTTTCTAAATCCCGCTTGCACATCCCAAATTTTTTCATCAGTTTCTTTCATAACTCTTTCAATTAGAACCTTAGTATACAGTTTTTCCACAATGCTAAGAAGGCTGATACCACGGTATTTTTTACAGTCCTGCTGTGACCCTTTTCCCTTATATATTGGGACTATCACGGCTTTGCACCAGTGTCCTGGTACCCGCTTTAGTTCCCAACATAAATTAAACAAGGTGTAGAGCAGGCCTGCCACCACGTCCTCTCCAGCCCTTAGCATTTCGAGTGAAACTCTATCATATCCGGCTGCCTTACCTACTTTCATGCTTTTCATTGCTTTCATTATTACATCTATACTTATCTCCCTATCTCTTTCATCATCTTTCGGAATTTCTATTTCATTTAGTTCACACTTCTCCTCACTCATAAATTCGCTTTCAAAATATTCCTTCCATCTCTTTAGACTCAACACTTCATCATTCAGGATACAGCCATTCTCGTCTCGTATCGCATTCAATCTAGGCTGTTTTGAAAGTCCCCTGGTATTTCTTACGAGCTTCCAGAACATTTTAATATTTGCCTGGAAGTTATCCGATATTCTTCTATCATTCCCATCCGTTCTTTCTTGCTTTTTCCTTTCAACTAATTCTTTTACTCTCTTATTTAAACGTTTAAACTCAGCCTTTTTTCTTTCATTCTCATCATTCTTACCGCCAGAATTACCAGCTTTGGTCGCTAGTAAATCTAGCCATATATAATATATACAAAATTTAAAAAATCGTCTGACATTATTATTTCTCTACAGGTATCGTGGATGAGAAAGCGTGATCTACACATTCTTACATCCCACATCTTTACATATACCGGTGATGCGAGATTCAGCGTACTTCATCCGGAGCCGTCCGATGACTGGGACTTGAAGATAGACTATGTCCAGCCACGTGATGCTGGAGTCTACGAATGCCAGATCAACACCGAACCGAAGATTAACATGGCTGTGGTTTTATACGTTGAAGGTATCTTTTATATATAATATACTTTTTGGTAGGTTTTGTCCGTCCTTACATAAACATGGCATAAACCCTTTGGTTTCGAGGCTCATGTACAGCTCACTGCTAGACAGTGAAATTATACAGACATATATGGAAGAAAAATAAAGATTTTTCAATTAAAAAAACATAAACACACACATATACACAATGAAATCGTCCACTAGTATCTTCCTTCACAAATTTGATATATTATGTAAGTAAATAAAGTCATTATTTTGAGAAATTATGTGAACAAATTAGGAAATTAAAGCTTGGTGGCAATCCGTTGAGAATATATGAAATATTATTGTTACATAAACTGAATCATTTTTTAAGCTAGAGCATTGCTGAAGATTATGGTTGTGGCAAGAATATGTCGGCTCGATGGGGGAATGACCACACTCTCAAAAATACCATCGTAAAATAGCAGCTTAAATACTGGTGTGTTGCGTGTAGTAAGTGTAGAGAACAGGGGACCTATTTTTTTTGGGAACGAGGCAATTCATCTAGTCTTCAGGGATGACGATGACGATTTTGATTCTTAGTCTAGGAGAGATCTAGATGTCTAATGGTCACAGCGTCCACTTAACATCAGGTAGACTGTGTGCTCGTTTGTCACCCTTATTACATAGAAAACTATCTACAGTTTGTTTTTCACAAATTCTACGTTATTTCATTGTTTTTAAGCATAGAGTTTACATTTAAATATTTAAGCAAATCTCTGAACAAAGCAATATAAATAACTCAATTTGTACTTAAATCCATCCTGTTACTTTGAAACTACGTTAGCACTTAGATTTTTTAAGATAATATATGTAATAATACGTAAATATTTAAGTTCCGTAGATTTGGGCTTTTTCAAATTAAACAAAAATGGATATGTTACGTGAGACTTGCTGTTTTGTGCTCGTGTTCGTGGACTTTCCATATATCTTGAATACAATAAGTAGGTCACTCAATAAGTTTTGAGATACTCGGAATTTAAAGTTAAGTTTAAAGTTACTATTTAAAAAAAAATTTAAAAATAGTATCCCATAAGCCCATTGCTCAATACTAAAAAAAAGCAAATTTTTATTAATTTTCCTGCAACGCTTCTCGCGCTATTCGTTTAAAACGGTGGATCTTAACCGTGAACATTTGCGCGCCCGAACCGAACAATTAGGTTTACAACGCTTACAATTAGCATTAGGAGACTAAGCTCCATCACGCGCAACAATTTTTGGGTGGTTTGCTGAATAATATAACCAAAGAACCGGGGCCACGCGCACAACAGTAACGGCAGAAAATGTACGGACGACTGAAATGTTAGTGAGAGAAGACCCAAAAATCACATATACGAACGTCGAAAGATTGTAGGTATTCGTTCGGAGAGCATTTATACCATCCTACACAAACATCTTGGAGTGAAGAAGTTTTGTTGTCGATGGATCCCTCGTTTGCTCTTCGAAAGCGAAAAACAGACTGGTGTGGATTGGTGCCACGTGGATGCGACTACGTTTTGAAAACGGGGCATATATGCGTGTTTCAGAAATAGTTATTGGTGACGAGACATAGATCTATCAATATAATCCGGAAAATAAAAGGAAATCATCGGTATGGGTCTACTCAGAAGGACATTTATGGTCAAAACTGCAAAGAACTTGCAACGTCGGCAAGAAAATGGTGGCTAGTTTTTTTTCGCGGAGCGGACATTTGTCGACGTCAATGCTAGAAAATTGTAGGTCAGCCAACTCTGAATAGTATACTATAGTTGCATTACCCAAAGTTTCTTAAACTGTGCGGAAGAGAAGACCAAAGAATGGGCTTTGGAGAATCATGCTGCATCACCATAACGCCTCTTCACATACTTCACTTTGAACAAAAGCATTTATTGAGGAATCTGGTGTTGAAACTTTAGCCAGCTCTGACTTAGCTTCTTGTGATTTCTTTTTGTTCCCAAGAGTCAAAGAAAAAATAAAAAACAAGTTTTTTTTCAATCGCCGATGAAGCCATGGTTGCCCACGAAGAAGCGATTTCCGACCTGTCAGATCAAAACTGGTAATAGTATTTTCGGAGTTGGTTTAGACGAATGGAACTTTGTAGAGAGCATGATGAGAGAATATTTTGAAAACATGTAAAATAAATATTAATAGTATCTGGCATACTTTTTGTATATCTTAAAACTTGTATTCAAGACATGTTTTGTCTTATTAATATCACAGATTAAATAATAGTACTACGTAGTAATATTTTCTTCATCCTTCGTAAAGTACGTGATGGCCAGTTTCAGTTGTTTTAAGATGACGGTCTATTTCAGGCCCAGTATATGTACACTATACGATAAAAAAGAGAAAAATTCAGGGATTTTATTAAAAATAAAATAAGAGAATAATTCAAACTAAGTAACTTGCTAAAAATAAAAATTCAATCCCAAGTTTTGATGGTTTTACAAGATGGCACCCTTCCAGTCAAAAAAATACGCGGTTATTTGTCAAATATCATTTCTGACAAGTGACAAGTCGTGAAATAATGTAGGTAGCGTGATATTTTTATTTATTCCGAGCTTGGTCGTGAATTTGTGAACTCGTGAATGATTCTATTGTATTTCTGGTCGATTTCTTAGGCGATTTGGTTTTAGTTTAGTGATAAAGTTAATACAGCATTTCAGAATTCAAATATCCATCAATAAATGGATCTATAATCTCACGTCAGTTGACAACTAACGCCAATTACCCGGCATTAGTGTTGCATTTTTTGGTAAGAATATGATATTAATACCAGTGAAATAAAGGCAAATTCGTGAATTTTAATGACAAAAAGTGATTTAATATTTTATTTTAATTTATTTCCTTACTAGTTCAAAACTAAGCCTACGCTTCATACAATTTCGGACCGCCTCCTTTTATTTCACAATTCGATAGGATTACTAGTTTTTGTATTCAAAACACTTGTATTATATGATTGCCTCTTTAGTCTCGTGGTTGAAAATGTGAATGCTGATAACGAAGTCACGGGTTCATATTCCGGCTTAGGCCACAATAATATCAGTTATTGAGTTTTTCCGTCAAGAACCTCTCAGTTGCTACCCGGAGTCAGGAAGTTGGCCATGTCTTACTTCCGTGCTTTGGAAAACAAGTTAAGCCGTTGGTCCTGCGCCTGATTTCTCTCCGGTCCTGTCGGTTTACTCTCGCATCGGACTAGGAGAGCGAGGGAATAGAGAGTGCACCTGTGCTTTCGCATACACTTGGGCAATACAATCCTGTCCTGCACCTATGGCTAGTCTTCGTTGAGGCTAGCCGCCGTGACTGAAATTCGGTTTAGAGAACATTACTATATTATTAAACTAAAAGGCTTTATACTATTGTACAAGTCTCTCTCTCTGTAAAAAATATCTCTCTTAGTCTATTGATAAAGAGAGGGAGAGGGAGATAGAGAGAGAGAGAGAGAGAAAGAGAGGGAGAGAGAGAGAGACAAAGAGAGTGTTCATTATATATACAATACGTAAAAAAACAATGTGGTTCCCGTTAAGTGCTTTATCAGAATCAGTATTCAAGCGCATAAAACAAAAACAACTTAACTTTAGAAAATTCGACCATAAAACGAAATTAAATATTTTGTTTGCTAATTGTATGTCGATATTACCTCTGCATTGGTAAGAGTAACATCAAAGACGTTTTTCCGATGTGTGTGGCATTTAGTCCAGATGTGTATGACATTTTTTGTCCAGAGTTAATTTTGTAAGCTACCAATTCTAGACCCCAAAATCTATTTAATCACAACCAAAAAAAAATCATTGTTATAAATGTTATGCTTCTATGTCAATCTATATATACATTTAATGATAACCGGGTTATTTAAAATGTGCGTGTGTGTGCTCAAGCACATGTATTCTTTATTCCCTCATTCTCATGGTTCGATGGACAACAACCCGACACAGCTGAATAAAGATCAAGCGCAGGATCAACGGCACAACGAAAATTCCCTGACTTTCTTGACGGGAAAACCCGATTCGAACTTAGGACCACATGATCAGCAAGTTAGTGTACTTACGACTAATACCCGCTATTACTCCAACTTTTATCTCTTTTACCAACTACGTCAAACATTACAATATTTAGAATTCATTAGAATTTTATTTGAAAAACTAAAATAACCGTTATATCTACATATCTAAAGAGCATAGATTTAGTGAACGTTTTTATAAGAGCGCTTATAAATACTTGTTGGAAGTCTTTGTTTTACTTTAATCACTGGCTTGGAAAAAATATATTGTGGGAGAACTAACAAGAAACTTGGTGGAACTTTTTTAAAATAACATTTTGAAATGAAATAAATTGTACAATTCTTCACTCATAGTTGTAATTATCCATAATGTACGTATTCATTAATATAAAATAACTTTTTATACCGTATTTGCTTCGTCAAAATTAAACTCTGATAATGACATACCTTGTTTATTTTTTAGGACTTTGTTGTAGAAGCGTATACATTACGCCATTAATGAATTACTGACTGTGGCAAATCTGGGGAGTGTAGATACTGTTATTATTAGCTTGTGTTTATTTATTTCTAAAGGTTACCGAATGTATAATATATTTTTATATTAAAAAATATTTATAGATAAATGGTATTTATGTATAAAATGGTATAATTATACTGAGCGAGCAAAGTTAGTGTAATTATTTTTTTAAAATGTTCTCCAGGGGTATATCTGAATTAGTATCGTTTTACATTAGCGAAAGTATGACAGTTATGATATCGATATGATAAAAATAAATATATCTCCATCTCTATTTATGTAGCTTTTTAAATACAAGGGAGACTTTTTATATATACTAAAAAAATTATTAAAATGAGTTGCGGAGGAGGAAAGTGTTTTTTTATAGGAGAGGGGGCGAACAAGCTAGCAGCTCACATGATGTTAAGTGAATTCCGTCGCCCATAAACAAATGAAACGCGAGGGGAATTACAAATGCGTTGCTGGCCTTTTAAAAAAGAGAAGGCTC